GTATACCGACAACATGGTCAATCCATTTAATCTGTCCTGTGTAAATAATTATTTTTCAGTTTAAAATATAATGTTATAATATAATGGAGTATAATTTGGAATATCCCATATCTAATAATAATTATTATTAAATAAAAACTTCGGTGACGACGGTCTTCTCGCCGTACATTTTTAATCGAAACTCGATTGTGACGGTAACACTGAAATTCCCAAAATTTAAATTTGTATTTATTTTTATTAGTACTATTAATTTTTTTTTTAAATTCTCATTATTTTTACTATACATTTTTACGTAATTACGTAAACGGAAAAAATACTAAAGGGGGGGGGGGGGGTTGAACACCCAAAACCCCCCCGTGTGTACGCCACTGGTGTCTGCAACTAAGAAATTCGAAGTTCTTTTCTGAATCACTAGGGGAAAATTAAAAACAATGAATACTTAGTGGGAAAGTGAGAATTATAAATACTATACCTATCGTAACATATTTGCAATTATTGAAAAAATCGATTCTGTTTTTGTATTCAAATTCATAAAGGGATAACCATAGGGATGTGGAATGCACACCAAATATTTGTAATGAGTACCATTTTCTATACATTAAACAATTTTTGTTAGGCTTCACCAAGCCCAGTTCAAATTCTAATTTTTGGAATTATTAAATATACCTACTAAAATATTATATGTTCTAATGCAATTATTTCTTATAAGTATTATAAGAATTATTATTTTTAATATTAATATTATTTTTATTATTAATATTTAAATATTAATCATAATTTATTGATATATTAAATATTTGGGCTATTTTTGAAATTCAACTAAAGTATAGAATAGAAAAACAAAGATTTTTGGATATTTTATATAGTTAAATAATTAGGTATAATTAAAATCTTTTAACAACAATTCTTTCAATTTATTGTTCATGTTATAACGAATTTAGAGTTATAATTTTTTGTAAGTTTGTTAATATCTTGTACTCTTGAAGATAATATTTTTATTTATTTATAAAGGAATTTTTATGCGATTCTGAACCGAACAGACCATCTGATCAACAAGGTATTGAAGAAAATGCGTCTCTGTCTCTATCTTTCTTGGATCTTCAACATCTTGAAAAAATATGTATGAATAGTATAATTGTATAATGTACACCCATGAGCATAGAATAAAAATCTTTATAAAGCCAAAATTAAATTAAAATTAAAAATATAGACTATAATGTTCTTTACTATCGAGGTATCTCATCAGTTTTTAGTTTTTAGTATAAACAAAATAAACCAGTCCACTTAGATTCCACTGACAAAACAGGTTGTAACAATCACAAGCTTATTAGTAAACCGTACTTTATTGTACTATACCATTGTTTTCAATGATATAACTGATATGATAATGACTATTAAAAAATTCGTTGAACCTACTGAGTTAAAAAAATACTTCTAATAATATGAATAGTTATTATTTTATACCTTATAACTTAGATCATATACACTGGATAGAGCTATGGTTTAAAATCTTGAAGCATCATCGTGCCCGAAGTCATCACTGCGCATGAGTAAAGTATATGATCTAAGAATTCAGTACCTACCTAATCGCCCTTATCACTATAACACATTATTGTTCCTTCCCTGTCCCGCGCGATCCATTTCCCCGTCCCGCGTGATCTATTTCATTCCTCACGCATGCGCAATAAGTACTTCGGGCATGAACCAGTCTGCTTCAAACACGGACTGCGCGTGATATACGCTATAGCTCTATCCAGTGTATATGATCTATGCCTTATAACTTATTCTGTGAATAAAATTATATAAAGTATAAATTATCATTTATTCTTAAAAATAATTGTTACATTGCTACTAAATTATTACTGATTTACTCTGATAAATTACTGTGACCTATTCTCAATGAGGAGATACACTTGAAACCTGTTGAAGAAATAATATCTAAATATATAATATTTACGAGATGAAATAACATTTTATGAATTTTATATAAATTAAATATATAGGCACCTACATAGTTTTTTAATTTAGCTTTCCTGGCTTACCAAACACCTATTTTTTTCCAACAATAATGGCTATGAGCACCTAAATGATTGCTTGAATTTTTTATTCTGGTGTTTGAACACTCGAATACATCCAACATGGCAACATCCGAAACTCTATTAAGCAATTTGGACTCAAGCCTGACATTTTTTTCAGTTTGTTTTATTTAAATAATTATAATTGCAGGATGAGATATTATTTCAAGAATATTTAACTAATAAATGTTTTTTTTTAGAATTTACTCATTAATTATTTTTACGAGCTTTCATATAATTTAACTACCCATATATTTAGATTAAATTAGTGAATATTATAAAATATACTATACGATTTTTTCTAATTTTAATACTTTCCATATACTTCACCTTCATTTATTAGTATTTATTTTTATTTCCTTAAGAGGATGCTACACCCGCATGTGTTGTCTCCGTCTTACAAACGTAGAACATAGCAAAAACATGTTTTGCGCGGGAAAGAACCGAGAAAGCTACAGTCATAATTAAACTTGAATAACTTTTTTTGTACTTCCGACATCGAAAAAATAAAAACGATATTGCACAGCCAAAGTTCTCCTTTTTATGTGGTGAAAATTTCGTTTCTTAATTATGACTGTAGCTTTCTCGGTTCTTTCCCGCGCAAAACATGTTTTTGCTATGTTCTACGTTTGTAAGACGGAGACAACAAATGCGGGTGTAGCGTCCTCTTAACAGTTTACAGTTACTGTCGATCACATTGTAATCTCTGTTACTAAAAACATGTATAATTTTAGATACTATGCCAGAAGATGAAAAAATAAATATTGACTATGGAATGTCTTCAGTTAGTAACTGTTCATCAAACTATACTAACTTAATTCAAAAATCAAACACATGTTTAGTCCAACCTGTAATCACCATGAAAATTTTGAACGAGATGTCAAGGATGCCAACTGATTCTGGTTATAACACAAATGTTTTAAAAATGAGTTCTCAGAATACCAATCAAATATCTACTGAAATAATGTCACAGTCAATACAGAGCGCTTTAGATCTTCTTATATGTACATTATTTGATACTTCAGAATTATTAGAAGCAGTTTGTAATTGGGATGATTGTAATAATCTTGTAAGATATTTCGTCGACTTGGTAGCGAAAATAGCAGAAAGTAATGAATTCGGGTTCACTTGTCGAGACAATGTGATGACATTTGTCCAAAATACGGCATTTACAATTTTAAACAATCATCACATGTATAAAGTAAGTCGTGGTAAAAATATAAAAGAAAGAACTTAAATAACTTACATAGAAACTAAATATATTATTGTATCACCTTCAGTCACATAGCTATCCAATATTAAGTGACTAATTTTATTAGGACGTACCTAATTTAGAATAGCCGGGAAAGTCACGGACCTAATTTGTCACGATCACTAATTTATTTTTATTTTTTCTGTGTTATTGTGATTTGATTTTCATTAATTGAGACTTAATACTATAAGATATATGCCTATACTCGAATACATTTTTGTACTTTTATAACCATTGTTCCATTCATCTAAGTACACTTATTTCATATTTTGTTGTTGTTGATTTTTGGACTAACAATCAATACATCTTTTAAATATTTTCGTTTGTTTAATAACATGTATACAATCAATTGTATCGTAAAATATTATGGTAGTATAATATTATAAGACTTTTTGTTTTTACTGGTTTTACATAAAGTTAAGGTTAAAATGACGTCTTGGTAACCAGGTAAAGTGATCGAATATATGAATTAATTTTTATGTACTAAAGTTATTATAATTTATGACCAATATCTACATCTGTTTAATATTAACTGTATATAATACAATTTTGTAGCTGGTTTATTAATATTTGAGATTTGATATGCTTGACTTATTCAATCACGAAGTTTCATAGTTTAATTTGTTTTTTTTTGATTTATTTAGTCTATTCATGTCGAATATCAATGTAATTTACTCGCCAAATTTTGCTACGACAAATATATTCGATGGAATATTATAAATTTACTTATAAATCGAATTAAGATTGATGTTCAGATCGTGCCAAGTTCTAGTTCACTTCGGAGCATATTTTACACTTTTCACTTGATACATAAGTTGTTACATAAAATTGATTTTCATGCTACTAATGAAACAACCAAAAACTGTAACAGCTTAACAGATTTGTGGAAAATAAACTATTTAAAGAAAAGCGGAAACGAAACCGAAAGGATTGAACAAATGTTAAAAGAATGGAAAAATTTGTTGGAACATATTTCAATGGAATCTTTAAAGAAAAATGTATTTTTAGTAAGTATAAAAGCGAATCAATGTTTAGAGGCTTTACAGCTTCTGTACTGTAATAAAACCTAAGTAACATATTTTTTTGTTTTGACAAATTTAAATTTGATTTAATAACATTGTAGTATTGTAAATACATAATATTTAGTAGGTATGTCTCAGTGAATATTGTATATCTATAACATATAAATCAACATAAACATAGAACAATTTTTATTATAATATAATATAGTTATTTATTTGCAATAAAGAAATCGATTGTTTAATTCACATAAATATATAAAATAAAATGTACCGAATAACAATTTATATACATGTTTTATTTAAAACTAGTAACTATCCGTTTATGGTGGATTCAAAACATAGGTAGAGCTTAATTTATAGGCAGTTTATTTTGTCTCTTAATGGGTTTTGAGATTCAATGAAATCGAAATTGGACATTTTTGAACGGACTCCGACTCGCTGGATGTAACGGTGGCGAATCGGAAGGTAAATGTTATTTGTCTTCGTGGTCGACGCTGATTGAAGGCCTCGTTAGTTCAACCATAGGAACATTGTCCTAAAACAAATGCGAGTGTTAGTAGGTAAAAACAAAAAATATGTATACTACATTTTATTCATACGAAACACATAATTACAATATAAAACACATAAAATGAATTATTTCGTGATAAATACAGTATTCAATTATGAATGTTAAGGAAATTTGTAACAAATGAGGATTATTATTTTTAAATTTATTTTTTATTTTTTATTTATTTACATTATAATTTTATATTTATTATCGAATTACATACGTGATAGTATTATAAAGATTTTATTATATTGATTTAAATAACTTACAATTTGACTGGTAACGTGATTTATATGTATCGGAGCTGGTACGTATGTAGTGATAGGTGAGCAGCCATTACACGTTCGCTTCAACGTTGCTTTGTGTTTAGTACCATCACACCTTATTGCGTATCTTAGTTCTTCTGCCATTTCCGTACAAACAGGTAGTTGCTGCAATTTAAATTTAGCAAAATTTACTCATGACATCGAACAAAGTTGTTATCAAAGTTTATATTATTACTTGATCTGTTGACTTTTTCTTGGAATACCAGCAGAATTCCAATATTGCTATGATAACAGCTACAGTTAGCCCACACAAGACAAATACAAACACTCCACCTAATGTTAGAAGTTTAATCAGTATAGTATAAGTTTAATGTTAATAATATGCAAATTTTGTTATGAGAAATTTAGTTTCAACTAAATTCTTAAATATGAAACAATCAAACATATAAATATTTTTAATACGAATTCAGCATTAAAACATTTCCGGTATTTTTTTTTAAATTGAATATTACCAGCAGAATCGAATTAAATTTTGATTACTTATTGCTTATAATATTTATATGCATTAAACTATATTTTGTTTTCATTCAAGTATAAAATGAATTATTTTTTATTATATCATTGTTGTTGACCGTTTCTTGTGTAAGAAAAGAAATGAAAATGTGTGAAATTTTAGTTAAAAACCAATTGCGCAAAAAAAATATATTGTAGGTTCATTCCTTTATCAATGGGTACCATTTAAAACTGACGAATTTAATTAAGATAATATATTTGACTTTTATACTCCTTTTCACTAACCTAAATCGTTAAGGTCCAGAGGCTTTGGTTTAAATTCTTTAACTTTTTCATCTTTGATACATATATCGGCTGCATTTTTCCACCATTTATCATATAACATTTGAATGACTCCCTTTTCTTGGAGTTCTAGTACGGCTAATGATAGTTTGTCTCTCCAGACTGAACCCTTAGGAGTTGCTATTCCGTAACCTTTAGAATCCAGAAGGCCGCTGATTTGAGTTAGATTGCAATCTCTCTGTACTGCATAGTCTATCATTGTTGATTCCATTAAAAATGCATAATTCCCCCCTAGTACTTTTTTCGTGCCTTCGTCGTAAGTAGATACAAATACCGATTGATGTTTCTCCATAAACTTCCACATCTTTTGGTATATTGGTATTTTGGAGTCCTATAAATAATATAGATTACGTAGGTATATTATGAAAAATGTTTTAAAATTAAAAATGCATTTGATATCTTGTCATTGGAAATTTCCAACAGTAAGTTATGATAAACTTTAGTATAGGAAGCATGCAGGTAGTGTAAGTTTATGAAGTAAATGAGGAAACATACAAAATAATTGTTGCCTGAATAATATAATTTATAAAAAGGTAATCGAGTGCATCAGTGTTGGGTAGGTACCCCGTGATTGAGTCCGTGCTTTAAGTGCACGGGCGTATCACAAGGCTGAGTACAACATACAATTTATTGTCTTTTTTTGGGTTTTATAGTAAATTAATTGTTCGCTATCTTGGGCGTTATATTGTCCATTCGTTTATGTTACGTATACTTCATTGGTATCACACTTTCGGCCTTGGGTATCAATGTATCATCTAATGATTCATGATCATCTAGATCAGGATTTATCAAATATTTTAATTTAAGAGCTACTTAAAAAAAATTAAAATCACTTAGTGGACCAAAATGATACACATATAAGTATATAACACATATCGTTTTAATGTTTTATATTCTGAGCGTACCGATGAGTGTATTGATTTTACAATAATTTATATTTTGTTTGTGGCTGGAAAAAATTTTTTTGGTCATCAACTTCGATGGAGGTTCGTTCCCCGTAAAAAATCGGCTAGTTGGTATTCTTGAAAGATAAAAATTGAACAATTTTAGTACTTTTTAAAATAATCGGAAAAAAACAAAATTGTTTAAATATTATTCTTAAAATAATCGTTTTTTTTCGACAACTCTACCAAATTTAACCCATCTGTGACAGCGACCCCTCTAGATACCTACTGTAAAGTAGAAGTGCCCGCTTTTTTTTTAAGAATAATACATTAAACATGTGGCTCGAAGAATACAAAGTTGACTTTACAACAAAATAAAATCTGATTTCAAAATTATTATCGGAGTAAAACTAAAGTCAGTATGTTTGAAAGCGTATATGTATACTTTCTCCAAAAAACCGTAGTGTGGAATCCGGGATTCCAAATCCCTTTAATATTGACTCGTACATCACTGGGATGAACACGCACTTAATAACAAACTGGAGTTAGGTAGTTACTAGTATAAGAAGTTATATCATTACTAACTAGCGTATAAGTTAATTTCACTGTATCCGGGCAGGGAAATACATAATAATATACATAGTTGTGAATATAAGTACTATTATGTTAATGCGTATTCGCGAGCAATATAAGATAAATAATTAATTGGTTAAACTATTAACGGTTATAATGAATTATTTTATGAAAAATAATATTTTAATTGTATATTTACCCTAAAAAATGACATGGTCGATCCCCCTTCAAGGGTCCCATATGTTATTTTTTCTTGAGACGACAATTCCGCTACATTTTGTATGGGTTTTTGTAGCCGCTCGACTGTTCTCAATGCTGTCAAGTTAGCGGTGTAAGATGGTATTATTATGATCGTGAAGAACCACCATATACCTCCTAGAATTCTAGCTGAAGTTGCCTGCGTATAGTGGAATAAACCAAAAAAACTCAATAAATTTGTTGTCGAGAAACATTATAATCTTATAATTGTGTTTACCTTTGGAGTGATTCCTGCATCCTGTTTCAACGACACACCAGCGACAAACCAAAAGCAATTCGATATGGTGAAACGACCCTCACGGTAATTCTCTTCAGTGTGTGGCCGCCATTCGTACGGGGAGAATCTGGCCAGAAAAAACAGCGAAAAACTCACGGCCATATAGGCGAGAAACATAAAGCTCCAGACACTGGTCGCCAAGGGATTTAAGAAAGCGAACAATTTGGATGGTTCATTACTCGGGACCTGCAACAAGAATAAAAAACAAACTGTTGTTTAAAGTTGTGGTTTTGTTGATTCTATTTTTATTTTCAGGTCTTATTGTTGTGTTGTTTTTTTACCACTCGTGTTCGTGTAATAGGAAAAGTAAATTAAGCGTAGTAATAAAACGCTCCGGAGAATCGCAAACTTTTTAGATTTTAAGTGATGATTGTAAAAGTTCGCTGTACCTACTTTGTTATTTATTTTTTCCAAACTTTATGATGTATTCTTTACAATATAAATTAAATTAATTATACTCGTCCTTTTCGATGCATTATAATTAGGTTCTATACATTTTAATTGATTTATTAGTTTTTCTTTATTAGTCATATATTTTTGAATTTACACTACATATATATATTGTACACTTGCCTTGAATAATATGCCTATTCCCATGTTCATAAATGGCTTTGTGAAGTCAACAACACTTTCACGAGCATAGTTGATAGTCATCGAACCCATGGCTAAGTCTGCTTTCTGGAATATAAGCACATTTTATGATGGTGAATATCATACTCTGTGTATTACCTATATTATAATGATGATTACCTTGTCCATGAGTTCTCTGACTATACCATTCCATTGCTTCGTGGTTGGATCGTACGCTCCATACTTGTTATCAGGTACTAATGTGATTGCGTAGTGAAATCCGACTTGTGATGCTATTCTGTGTAGTAAATCAATACAAAATCCTTCGTATTTTGAATTTCCCGTTAGGTTTTTGTCTTCTTTGATCATCACGTAAGGTTTTTCCTATAATTGTGTGTAAATTATTTCAACAGGTATTAAAATGCATTGATTCCGAGAGTTTGAACTCGACCCAATAATATTACTATAATACTTAATTAGTAAGTTATATTATATTGGACTCGTATATTTGTTATATCTTAATAAGTGTAACTCACAATGAAAGTCTTGAAACTTATTTATTTTACCATTTTACCATTTATTTTATATTATTAACTCAGTTTAAGCTGTCAATTTGTACGTATTAAAAATTAATTGAATAACTTTATAAGTATACCAATTAGGGGAAATGATTGATTTCTTTAAACAAAAACTCTTACAAAATTGAATAATAATTAAAAATTGTATTCTAACAAGGCACAATAGTTGTACGCCCACCTAAGTATAGTTCCATTGCTAAGAATTTATGATTTAGATTTGTTGAACAATTTAAAAAAATCAAAGTTGAGGCTAAACATGGTCCTGTATGGCAGGTATTGAAAACTCAACTATATTAACACATATTTTTATTGCAATCTATACACGCAATGTAGTACTATACTTTTTTATATTTTATATTCTTAATAATTATTTTTTATTTCACATTTGAGAAAATTAATATTAAATATTAATATTTTTGTTCTTATAAATAGATAACTAAGTAGATAGGTGCCTAATTATAGGTATATAATATATAAGTAGAAACGTAATATATATATATATATACATATAAATCAAATACCACTCAGTCACTCATTGCTACATCTCAAAAATAACTAAGCTTACGAACTTTAAATTTTGAATAGTGGTTCTTTTAATGATCTAGATGTGCAATGAGAAAGGGTTTTCTTAAATTCGCATTTTAAAGAGGTACTCAAACAGGCATTAAATTGGAAATTTTTTTTGTTTCATTGGTTACAGATTATAATTGTATATTGCAATATTAGATATAAGTATTTTTTTATTTATATAAATGGTTGACATTGGTTACTCGGGTAGATGAGATAAAAGTATCAAATTCTCACGTATTATGGTGTCTAGTAAAAAAATTATATCTTAAAACAATTAATATGATAATTTATTTATAAAATGATCCATATATATGTTACTACCTATACAGACTCAAAAACTACTCTATAGATTTTTACAAAAATTTGCCATGGCACATTGTATCCAATTCGCCATAGGTAGTTAGGTGGATTGCCTACTCGATTATATAGTGCTCGTATAATCATAAGCGAAACTCACGGGTTCCTTATTTGACATGGGCAACGCCGCGACAGCGGGGATAACTATAATATAATATATCTATTATCTAACGTGTCCTGACTGACTCACTGACTGTTTGACGGAGAGCATATTTAATGATAGCTTGAGACTTGACATTTTCACTGTACTTTCGTACCACCATGTGACCGAGGAAGAATTATCGGTTGGTACTTGTACAAGTATTTTGAGATTCATGATAGAAATAAATATTTTTTTTGTTTTTAAATAATTGTTCACATTGGTTACAGATTATAATAGAAATAGTAAACAATTTTAATTTTTGAACACGATTACACAAATATTAAATAACGAATTGACCAAAGTGAATCATACAAGTAGAGTTGGTATTTTTAAAATACAACGAAGTGCACAGAGTCAGCTAGTTTCATTTGCATAAAGTATTTTTGAATAAACAGGTAAAAATGTAATAATACAAAATATACACATTAAGTACACTATTTTTTCTGTAGTATATATTGTGTTGTGTGCAATTGTTAATTACCTATACATGATGGTACTATTCTAAGATTTTTATTTTTACTATAAATTCAATTATTAATTACAAAATCTTGAATTTCATAATGTAACAACCTATATAGTATATTATACAATGAAAAACGTTTAGTACTAAACTTTTATAATTTCTTTTTGACTGTCTTACGTATTATTTTTTGTTTTGTTTTAAATGTTCGTTTTTTGCTGAGTCATGATTTGACAAAATGATTTCACTTCGAGATAAATGTGTAGCTTGACAAAATACCTATCAAATCATATCGATTTGAAAAATCGATATAATAGGTACCTATATCGTATATGTACATTGACTTAAAGGTACAAACTGTGGGTTTGTTAACATTTATTTTCGAAAAAAAATTATATTTCTTTATTGTTATAATTTTTTATAAATTAAAATTGTCTCAATGAAAACATAGGTTGTTACATTTATAATATTGTATACTACAACATTCAAATTTAAAAGCAGAATAATATTGGTAGTATTTTGAATTTCGAATGATAAGTTAAAACTTTTTAAGTACCTATTTAAAGTTAGATTAGTGGATTAGAATAGCTCTGGAACCCCGGATTATGTTTATCCGCTACTCCGCTCAGATTAGCTATAAATACTTGCAACTAATTAATACTCATTCAAAATTTTATTTTATATAATGAAATACTCTAAAAAATATACAGCTCCATAAATTGTGATTAAAAAAAAAAAAAAATGGTTTGGGTACCTATGTAAAAAAGTATTTTCAAAAATGTTTATACTTTTTGAAATAATGATTTTAACATAAAAACAATCTTGCTGTATACTACTGTATATTATTGTAACTAAATCACTTTGTAAAAAAGTATAATTAGATTATTTGACTAATTAATTAATTTGATTAAATTACATTGTAGTTGTATGAAAAATAATAGTCATTAATATAAACGTACATCATACTTATGTACACATAATATTAGGTATATATAATAATTAAGTAGGTACAATTTGCATACAGAGTGATTCACCCAGCATGTTCTTCTCTTTTTTATTTTTAAAAACGCAGTTTTATGTTGGAATGTTTAAATATAGGTGGGTACTTACCTAAAAAATTACTTTTAAAATTCTTTAAGACTATATTTAAAATTCTTAAAATATGTTTTGTGCTTACTACTTAAAGATTGTCCCGTGGAGATACAAATTTTCATTTTTCTAATGAAAACCTCCCTTTTATACAGTAAATTATCTAGCAGATAATTTTTCTGAACATTTTAACATTTCAAAATCAAAGTTCAAACTACTATAGGTCTTGAGTTATTTAACTTTGTGTAGTAAAGGTTATGAGTCCATGATTGGGTTTGGAAGATATTATGGGGATTATGGTAATTTAAAATTGTTAGTAATTTATATTGATCAATATTTACAATTTATAAAAAAATTTCAAGTATAGTAAATACTAGATCCAGTTAGAATTATTACTTTTATTATATATTTTTGTAAAACCATTTTTAAGAATTATTATTTAATTTAATTTAAATATTTTTATAGCTAAAAAACTAATAGTTTGAATTTTGAATTAGGTGGGTACAACAAAATTTTTAAAAAATCATCCACTTTATAATTTACAGAAAAAAGTCCTCGTTTTAAAAACAGAAGTTTGGATCACAGGACACTCTTTAAAAAGGTTTGAAAATATGTTATTTAGGCACTTACTTAGTATCTACCTATATGCTTATTGAGTCACTGTATATTAACATGTATTTATATTAAGTACAAATTACAGTACTTTTGGATTCCACAAATCGGATTTAATCAATAGAATCTCACTCTGTAATCATTGCTGCAAACCAGCAGTAAGTTGTGGTTTAGCCTTTCTACACTGTTATAATGTATGCGTGAAAAAGTATAAAATATATATGCTACACTTCGGGTTGGCATGTATCGAATAATTACAAGTTCATAAACGGGTAAATTGACTGGATTTTAAATTCAATAACGTAACTTATTCAGATTTTTCGAAAATAAAAATATATGTCTTATTTTAGATTTACAGGATCGAGATGAGAGGGCGTGGCGGCCGTAAGTCGGACGTACAACACAACGTTTTTTTTTGCAAGTGTCGTAAACATCATGGTCTGTGTGATCGGACAGAGCATTTATAAAAGGCGATTGGGAAGGTACTTACATCGTGTAAGTTACACGTACCTATTATATCAAGGTACTAAAATCGGTTTTTTTGGAAGCGAGCCAACAAACGACTGAAAAATAACCTTCGAAAAATGTATATTTAAAAAATTTAAAACGTTGGCGTATTTCAGGGGACGTGGAATTTGAAAAGAGAAACACGAAGATATGAGGTGTTATCAATCCGAGGACGAAGATTACAGCTAATATTTGAAGTTGCTTACGATCATGCTTTGTACAGTAATGTAATCGGCGTACGGTTTTTATTGTCCGTCATTTTAGATTCCGAGCGAACCTATGACTATATTGGATTTACAACGAAATGTATTTTTTTAGATTCTGAACAATGCGATGGAATGTATTGGAGTTTTACAGCAGAAATGTGTGTGTTTTTTTAGATTTTTTTTGTGTTTAAACACTTTTTATAGCAGTAAAAATGCTTTGATCTCCAACTTTTGGTTTTTGGCAGCAAATTGGATCTAGTTGGTAATTTTATACAAAAAATAATGATTTTTCTCTAAACAATTTTATTTATTTTATTGCGATTCAAAAAATACTAACCGTGAAGCTCAAAACATTTTACTGTTATTTAAATTATTATTTTTCATACGAAATTAAATTTTCAAAATATTTAGACTAATTTAAGTCTATCGATGGACTTTGTTTTTATTAATTTGTTAGAAATGTGTAAGCATACTTCGCATGTCCTTATACAAGTTTTATAATTTAATTATAATTAATTACAATATGTGCAATATTACATTATTCATAGTTATGAATTTCTATTGGTTGAGCGATTGATATTTTTAATTCATCAAAATCATGAACATTAACCAATTAACAATAATTAATTAAATAACAGTTTAAACATTAAAATATAATATAAGGTAGTTTCTCATGAGTCATAAGTTATTCTTAAAGAAATTTTAAGAAATTTATTACTAAATTTTTTTTTTTGTAGGCATCTAAGTTCAAAAGTTGATATAATTGGTTACATATTCAAACGAAAAATAACGATTTTTCTTCTAATGATTTAAGTTATTTGGTTGTAATCCAAAAAATATTAACCAAAGAGACTTAACATTTTCATAAAATATTTATAATACCATTTATACTATACATTATAAAATTTAAAATATCTTTTATCTGTTTTTGTGCTATTTATTAGAAATTAGAATAGCATTAGAAATTTTCAACTTTTTAGTTTTTTTATATATTGACTCATGTTCATAATTTTTGGCTGTTGCAAGTCTTTCAAAATGCTTTAAAATTAAAAACAAAGTTCCTCACAAGTGTTTCTTTCTGAAATTAATAATACCGAAAGTTTACAGTACCGAGTAGATTTTTTTAAAAGCGTTCAAAGAGTTCAAATTTTGGTCATCTAGGGTATTTAAACGAAAAATAACGATTTTTTAGTAAACGCTGTGGGTTATTTTGTTGTTATTATAAAAATATAAATTACAGAGACTTGCAATTTTCCGCCACTACGTATACATTTTGCCATCCTCCCTATACAATTAAATTTTCATAATATTTGGATTGGTTTTAAGCTATTATTGTAACATTATACCAAGAACCTATTTGCGCCGTTCTGCG